ACATTAATAAAAATTGAGTTGCAACTAGTTGCAACCGGTGACAAATAAGTATCACATGATTGCAACTAGTTGCAGCGCTATTTTTATTCATCAGTATTGCTCATCACACCCTTCCATAACGTCTGAACTTCTTGAGAGTCTTTCTCTTTCTGGTGATTATTAAGAGAAGAAACTTACATTAAGAGAATTTTAAGGGACCACAAGTAAAACAAGCTGTACTGAGATCCCTTAGAATCACGAGCAAAGCAAGTTGTATTAGGATCCCAAAAGAGATACTACAATCAAATTCGACAATTAAATACCTGAGACTACAAGTAAAGCAAGCTGTACTAGGATCCTTTTGGAATCACAAGTAAAGTAAGCCATACTAGGATTCCAAAAAAGATACTACAATCAAATTCGACAACCAAATACCTGAGACCACAAGCAAAGCAAGCTGTACTAGGATCCCAAAAGAGATATCATACCTGAGTTCACTCCATTTTTCTCTTAAATCTTCATTAACAACTTAATCCTGAAGGTAAAGATTTAAATCTCGACAATACAACTCGAACTCTTCTTTCTTCGGTTTCCAACTCACTCTCTCGTTTCCATATAACAATTTAAAACATAAAAAATTCAAAAATGAAAAAGAAGATGGGTTTTGTTTTTTAAAATAATCGTTTATGTTAAAGAAATATGTTTTAAAATTTTTTTTTCGTGACACTAGCATGGTTAAAAATCCATTTATTGGTTTAATTTCACATGATGATTAACATTTATTAGCCAATTAAATTTTAACAAAAAAAAAAGAACAAAAAAAAATTGTTCAAAAACTTTATTTTTACGAAATATTTGGTTTTAATAAACACATTTGACAAAATATTAGTAATATCTTATAATACTTGATATGAATTTAAGGTAAGTGTTTGATTTAAAAACTCTAAAAATATAAACTGTTAGAGTTTAAAATTTCTTTGGTATAATATTTTAACGTACCTAAAATTCTTCTTTGTAATTCAAAATTAGTTTCAATCTTCAGTTTATAACTATCAATTTCCTCAAGTTCATAATTATCTTCATTCATTTCTTCTTCATTGTTTAATTCTAGTTGAGTTTCTTCCAAGTGTAATTTTTCATTATATGATTTTGTTAATTCATTAATGGATTTATCCATGTTACAATTTGTGTGGTAAATATTTTCCAACTTTATCTTTTATAACAAAGCATAAAAAAGTAGTTCATACATAGCATAGATCTTTATTATATAATTCAAATTATATTCGAAATTCACGTACTTATGAAGATATTTCAAATCATTCTTTTAAAGAAATTATTTTAGATTTTTGAAATGTATTATCTGATCATAAATAATATAATTTCTATAATAAATAAATAAAAATTTATAAATTTTGCTTGAATAATTAATAATACATAAAATTACTA